CCCTGGTTAGTTACAATTTTTTTGGTCTTTTTCTTAAAAATTAATTTTTTAAAATAAAGTAATACATGTACACAGATTTTTAAAAAATCAAATAATGCTAAAAAGATCATAATATTGAATAAGAGATCTTTGTTCCTGCCTTCCTGGCTCTTCACCTTGCTAGAATCAACCACTTTTGACTCTTTAAGGTGCTTCTTCTGTATTTACCTCTGTATTGCTAAACCATTTGTTTGTAATATTATTTCTTGACTTGTCAAGCTTAGCCTTGTTGAGTTTCTCTTCTCATTCCAGTATAGTTACTATAAGGGTAATACTCAAAACACTTAATGATGAGCACTGCATAGATAATGATTAATCACAACTAGTTACTCTACATGGTCTATGTTGGCTAATTATTGGTCTTGATTCTATGACACATTTGATAGCCCAGTTGGTAAAGAATCTACCTGCAGTGCAGGAGACCATGGTTCGATTCCTGGGTCGGGAAGATCTGCTGGAGAAGGGATAGGCTACCCACTCCAGTATTCTTGGGCTTCCCTTGTGGTTCAGCTGGTAAGGAATCCACCTGAAATGCAGGAGACCTGGGTTCAATCCCTGGGTCCCCTGGAGAAGGGAAAGACTACCCACTCCAGTATTCTGGCCTGGAGAATTCCATGGACTGTATAGTCCATGGGGTTACAAGAGTCGGACACGACTGAGCGACTTTCACCTCCTTCAGTATTTACTTTATCATTACCACATAATTATTGTCAACTGCTGAAACAATATAATATAACCATGTTATCTTGATAACTCAGTATTTGTTTTCTAGAAGTTATTGATGTTTTAAAAAAGCATTTATTACCTATTAAAAAGTCACTGCAATTCCCACCTTCTCTGTGAAGTTTTTGCTGGTTTGCAAGTTGGTTCTCCACCCTGTTGTTATTCCCATGCTACCTCTGTTTCGCTTATCACATTATATTTTATAGATTTGTGTGTCTATCTTCCTTATGAGAATATGAGTTCCTTGAAGGTAGTGATGGTATCTGTTATCTTTGAACATTCAGTGTCTTGCATCAGTGCCAAACCCAAAATATTTAATAAATATCTGTTGAATTATGGATGAAACAGGAGCATCCTTTCTCTTTGAAGCAGCCTTCAATATTGAGTAGATGCTTTTGTGAGCACTTCTCTGATTTCTGAGTCTCTCAATATGGATACACACTCAGATTCCTGTCAGGGTCTAGGAAGTTAAAATTAATGAGCTCAGCAACCCTGGTGGAGTCTGTGGCATTTAAAGAGGTCACGTGCTGCTAGGTTCCAGCTAGTTGTTGCTATGAAGGTGTTTCAGATCTGTGTTGCCAGACCTTCCACTTTTTAAATAGAAGCAGAAAAATCCAGGCTTGATATGAACCATCATGATTCAGTTTTAAAAAACTATGCAGACCAAGTAAATTGCTCTTCAAAATCAAGCTTGATTTGGTTCAGGACCATAAGCTGATGAAGATTATTGCATGGGAGTAGGAGGAACTATGTACCTCATCCCAGAGCCTTGAACTTGGTGTCTGATTGGCCTGAGAATGTCTAACCCAAGGGGTCCTCCCAGGGGCTCTCTCCAGTGGAATTTCTTTGCCAGCTGATGCCAGCATGTAGGGTGAGCCTTAGCAGAAGACAGCCTGGGCACAGCCTGCCAGAGTGTTTGGAGACTCTGGCAGGATTTCCATGGAATCAGGACTCCCTCTGTCGTGTGGGAATAAAGAATGTTGTATTAAATTATAAAGTGATAAGGGAAGGAGCTCAAGAAGACTAAAAGTTGTACACTATCTGCTAAGCCATGTGTGTATCTTTTCTTATGTTAATTTGTGTTTTTATAATACTCCTAAGATGAAGAGATTGTCATCCTTAGTTTGCAGATGTTAAATCTCTGTGAGATTTAGTTTTGTTTTTTTTTTCAATTTCCATCATCAGAATAGATTAACTGAAGAATTAATGCCTCTGATTCTGCCCATGAAGAAAGCCCATATGTGGGATTTTAAAAATGATTTAAACCTGTTTTATAATAAAAAAGGATAAAATTTTCCACTGGACATTGACATTGGGATCTTTGAACTTAATGTTTGTTTTGCATGTTCATAAATTAATCTAAGATCGTTCATCTATCAACATTTGTTGAATATCCCTTGTGCTCTGTGTTAAATAACAGGATTTCAGAGCTGGGAAATATACAATTCCTGTGCTTGAGAAGTCTTAAATGACTGTTTCTGGTTTGCTCTAAGTGTGAAAGGAGGAGCCAGGTAATAGGGTTAAAGGCAGAAAAATATATAGAAATTTGCTATCCAAATTGTGTTTTGTTTTTAAATTTGAGCTGCTCCTTTTTTCCTTGTTTCAACAAACAGAATAGTCAAGTAGAAAAATTAGAAAGTGAAAATTAGGATAATTAAGGAAAAATTCTTCTAACCCTGTGGGCAACTCTATCTACTTACTTACCCATTTTTTTTAAAACTATTTATCTATGTGGTTATTTTCATATTTATCACAAACACATGCAGAAAAAAACACTCAAATCTCACTAATTACTATTCTATAAATTGCTTCTCTTACTGAGGGATATTTTGAAATGTTTAAAAATAATTTTTATGGCTGAAGAGCATTTTATTACATGGAAATATTTCCTATATCTTTATTCAGTTCTCTATTGTTAGATATTTAGGCCAATTTCTAATTTGTTTATAAGCCATGTCACATGTAGAAATTTTGTAGTGAAACCTTTTTATGTATTTTAATTTATTTCCTTGGGAAAAATTGCTAGAAATGAGATTACTGGATTGAAGCACTTGGACAATTTTTAAGCTTTTAGCTAAAAGCTGAAAGTCCTGGTAAATTGTCCTGTGGAAGAGTAGTAGTAATTTTCCTCTTATCAATGGATATGAGTTTCTATTTCTCTTCACTGTTTCCAATGCTAGATACCACCTCTTTAAAAAAAAAATTTTTCCCCCAATTCGATAGAGATAGAAAAAACTCTCTGTTTTGTAAAACTCTTTTTGAAACTCTTTCAGCCTTTGAACTTTCTGGATTCTATTGTTATCTGGTACAATACTATCACTTTGTATTTTGATCACTTGGTTGGCTGATTACCTGCCTTAGCAGCTTTGGAAGAGTTTGAGGGACCATTTCCTGTCCACAGGTGTGTTTTGGGGGTGCTTGTGGATGTTTGTTGAGTTTAATTGTACTTGAAGGACATGTGCAGTTTAGAACCTTGTCAACACAACCAGTGGGCAAGTCACTCTGTTCCTACTAGTTACATAATAATGAGTAATTTAACTGAGTACTGATTAAGTGTTAGCACTGCATTAAGTGCTTTGTATACTTAGCTGGTTGGAGCCTCACGACAGCTCTCTGAAGAAGACATAATAATTATCTCCATCTTGCCAATAAGGAAACCGAGAGGTTATGAAACTTGCCCATGGTACATGGCTGTAAGGTGGCAAAAACAGGTTATAAACTCAGGATCATCCAGCTCCCAAGCAGTTTAATCATTTCCCTTCTCCCCTCTCCTCTCCAGCTTTTTATTACAGATATTTAAAAGTATATGTAAAAGTAGAGACAACAGCAGAGTGAACCTTGACAAATATACCACCCAGCTTCAACAATGGTCAATATGTGAACAATCTTGTTTCATCTATGCCTTTCCCTCACTGCCACACACCTGTCTTCCCTTTTTGGATTATTTTAAAGCAAATCAGAGATACATTAATTTCCTTAATAAGTATTTAAATACATATCTCTAAGAGATATAGATTCTGGTTTTAACATCTAAACCACAAAAATCATTATCATACTTGCTGCTGCTGCTGTCGCTTCAGTCGTGTCCGACTCTGTTGACCCCATAGACGGCAGCCCACCAGGCTCCTCTGTCCCTGGGATTCTCCAGGCAAGATTACTGGAGTGGGTTGCCATTTCCTTCTCCAATGCATGCATGCATGCTAAGTCGCTTCAGTCATGTCCGACTCTGTGTGACCCTATGGACAGCTGCCCACCAGGCTCCTCTGTACATAGGATTCTCTAAGCAAGAATACTGGAGTGGGTTGCCATTTCCTTCTCCTATCACACTTGACACTCTAACAATTTCTTAAGATTGTCAGATTGCCCTGATTACCTTTACTGTGATTTTTACTGTTGGTGTGTTTGAATCCGAATCCCTGCAAGAACTACCCTTTGTATTCTAAACTTTCCTAACCTCAGCACGGTGTTCCTTTCCTTCCCTTGCTTTTCCATGAGGCCTGTCATTCTCAGAGACCGAGTTACTAAGCTGGAGGAACTTCAAATTTTAAAATAGTTCCTATGAATTGAATATCTAGTTTGCATCTCCCCAGAAGGAAGCACACTCAGTAGTTAAAACTTGAGAAGCACTGGGTATGTGAAGACCAGGGGAGAAAATACATTGCCACGTGGGTTCATTATCCCTCCTCCCCGAAGTTCACCAGGTGGCTGAGAACTCCCTTTGTTCTTCTGTTCATAGGATAAGGCTTCATCGCAGCTATGGCTAAGTCTTCTCACTTATAGGGCCAGGTCTCATCAGATAGACGTGTTGTGTGTGTGTTGTTTGTTCAGTCGTGTCTGTCTCTTTGCAACCCCATGGACTGTAGCCCTCCCAGCTCCTCTGTCCATGGGATTTCCCAGGCAAGAATTCTGGAGTGGGTTGCCATTCCCTTCTCCAGGGGATCTTCCCAAACCCAGGGATCGAACCCAGGTCTCCCACATTGTAGGCAGATTCTTTAATGTCTGAGCCACCGGGGAAGCCCAGTAAGTGATACTGGCTTGAAAATTCTGTCTTGAGCCTTGAGCTTAAAAAAAGGAGACATGCTGGCCCAGGTACCCCTTCGATGCTGCAAGAGAATAACTTGGAAATGGGAGCCACAGGCTTGTTATTTTCATAAATGGTCGAGACTTTGATAGGATCTTTTGTCTTGAGCATGTTTTCAAGGTTTCATGTTTGTTTTGGTTCTGTTTTGAACTTGAAGGTCTAGTGATCCTCCACTGTGTTCTGGCAGATGGGAATTCAACCAGAAGTCCTGAAAATGATGGCCTTCTCTGTGGAGATCATGCAGAAAACTGCCCAGGTAATGCATAACTAGTGATGTCTTTGTATTTCATCAGCTTTGTATTCAATCTCAGAAAGCTGACTTTCCTACATTTTAAGTTGTTGATAATACAGTAATCATAAAACTAGATAGTTTTTTGAGCACTTGCTAATGTACCAGGCACTGGGCTTTGCATATAGTAATGCATTCACTCCTTGCCAGAACTCTATGAGCTAGTAACACTTTTTACTTTATTTCAAGGTGAAGCTAGAAAGAATATGTAGTTGCCAAAGGTCACACTGCTGGTATACTGCAAATCTGGGATTCACACTCAGGTCTTTCTCATTCCATCATAGATGTGATTTCCAGCCTCTAGCATCATGTGATATCTTGGACTAGATTCATAGAAAGTTGGCACATTCTATTCAAATTCAAATTTTATTTTCTATTTTATAACTTAAAAGAAGGGAAGAAGGCATCAATTTTTAAAACATGTTTTACCTTACAGATGCTTGAATTAGTATTCTCAAAGTTATTAGTCTGAGGCAGGGGTCAGCTTTAGTAGAGTCAGATAGTAAAACCTGAAGTTTTGTGGTACTTGTGGTCTTTTTTGTAACTACTCTGCTCTGCCATTGAAATCAGCCATAGACACTATGCAAATGAATGGCTTTGGATGTCTTCCAGTAAAACTTTTTTTTAGAGAAACAAGCTGTGAACCAGATTTGTTTTTTGGGTCACAGTTGACTGACTTCTGGTCTAAGGTCTGTCTGTCATTTATACAGTGTATGGTCAGATCTTCTACAGAGGCTGTTTCTTATTTCAAAACACACCCCAACATAGGCCAATTCTGAAAGTAGGGCAGAGTGGAGAAAAGCCTCTGGAAACTTCTCTGAGCTGCAGAATGGTGACCTGGTGTAAGTGCTCCTTTCCTCGTGTCCTGGGGATGTTGTAACTGAGCCAGGAACACCTGAGCAAGTCGTCCTGAAGTGAGTCATCAGTTCTAGCCCAGCTTTCCTCTTTCCTCCCTCCCATTAGTGGGTGGTCTGGAGAGTGCCCATGGGCTGTGAGTCCATCGCTGTCTTAGGTCATGATGGTGTGGGTCTTGTCACCTGTGTAGTGAGAAGGACAAAGCCTACTTTATGTGTGTGCTTTCCTTCAGTCTGGTTTCAAATGTCTTAAATGACATTTTCACATTTCCTTTGGGAGATTACTCTGTAATTGATGATTGATAGGGTTAAAAAATCTTCCTCATTATCTTCCTAAATGTATTTTTAAATTTTGTTATTATCATGAGAATGTATAACATGGGATCCATCCTTTTAACAACATTTTAAGTGTACAATACAATATTACTGGGGCTTCCCAGGTGGCGCTAGTGGTTAAGAACCTGCCTGCCAATGCAGGAGACTAAGAGGCCTGGGTTTGATCCCTGAGTTGGGAAGATCCCCTGTAGGAGGGCATGGCGGCCCACTCCAGTGTTCTTGCCTGGGAAATCCTATGGACAGAGGAACCTAGCAGGCTACAGACCATAGTGTTATAAAGAGAGACAACTGAAGCGACTTAACATATAATATTATTAGCTATGGAATCTGATATTGGATAGCAGATCTCTAGGAATTATTTATCTTACAGAACTGAAGCTTTACAGCCCTTGAACAATAAACAAGGCCTCTCCCCGCAACCCCTGGCAACCACCATTCTACTCTGTTTTGGTGGATTTGGCTGTTTAGATAACCTCATATTAGTTGAATCATGTATTACTTGTCCTTTGGTGACTGGTTTATTTCTCTTAGCATAATGCCCTCGAGGTTCATCCATGTTGCTGCATATTGCAAAATTTTCTTCTTTTTCAAGATTGATTAATACTCCATTGTCTGTATATATTGTATTTCCTTTATCAATTCATCTCTAGATAAATATTTTGGTTGTTTCCACATCTTGGCTATTGTGAATAATGCTATAATTAACATGGTAGTGCACCTTCTTTTTTGAGATCCTGATTTTTGTATAAATATCCAGGAGTGGTATTGTTGGATCATATGGCTGTCCCACTTAAAATTTTTGAATAAACTCCTTGCTATTTTCTATGGAGGCTGTAGATTGCCCTTCCAGTCTATAAATTGTTTGTTTCCTAGTTTGTTTAAGGTCACAGGTAAGCAGAGTAGCCTGACGTGAACTTGGAAAGACTGGCTCTAGAATGTGTATTGTTAATTACCATGGTAATATTCTAGAATCACTTTAGAAGACCAGAATGCTCAATACATGAGAAAAATTCTGAAAAAAAACAATTGCTTGAAAGTGCAAATGACTGTAGTTTCTTGAAAGAGAAATTAATGTAAAACAGGAGCAGATTGTCTCTGTTGAGTAACTGTGACCTTGAGCACATTGCTTAAGCTTTCAAAGACTTAATTTGTAACCTGTAAAATAAAGAAGTGACTTTCAGTGGTCCCCAACCTTTTTGGCACTAGGGATTGATTTCATGGAAGACAGTTTTCCCACAGACTGGGAGTGGGGGTGTTGTTTTGGGATGATTCAATTGCATTCCATGTATTGTGCATTTTGAAAGTGAAAAAGTGAAAGTGTTAGTCAGTCAGTCATGTCTGACTCTTGCGACCCCATGGACTGTAGCCTGCCAGGCTCCTCTGTCCTTGGAATTCTCCAGGCAAGAATCCTAGAATGGGTTGCCATTCCCTTCTCCAGGGGATCTTCCTGACCCAGGGACTGAACCCAGGTCTCCAGCGTTGCAGGCAGATTCTTTACCATCGGAGCCACCAGGGAAGCCGGTCGTGCACTTTATTTGTGATCTAATACCGCTAATCTGACGGGAAGTACTGGTCTACACCCTGGAGGCTGGGGACCCCTGAATTAAATGATTTTTAGGAGTCCTTCTTGTTTTCTAAATGATTTCAGGATTTTACTTGCCAACAGCCCCAGTCTTTAAGCATTCCATTTTTAGTCTGTCATTTTCTATCTTGAATGAAACATTTATTCTGTTTGTCGGTACTTATGAGCTACCGACTATACAGGAGGTCCTGTTCCGAGTGCCAAGGATGCAGCAATGAGCAAAGTGGTCAAAGATGAGGTCACAAAGGTAATAGGAAAAAAGAGGTAGATGCCATTTACTGAGATGAGGAAGGACAAGATTTGAGGGGGTGGAAATCCTAAGTTCCATTTTGGAAGTGTCAAGTTGAAATGCCAGTTAGACATATGTTAATGAGGCAGTTAGCATGGAAGGAAGAGATCTGGGATGGAAACAAATTTGGGCATTGTTATCATTAAGCTGTTTGAAGCCAGGAAACACCCAGAGAGGAAGAGGACTGAGGAGAAAAGCTGAGAAAGTGTTGCACCTCCATGCATTGCAAAATTTAGAAGGAGTTGAGAGAGTTGAAGTCAAACCAGCCAGGGAGAATGAGCGAAGGAGGCATCACATGCACTCTTGAAAAACAAAAAGAAATGCAGTTTTTTTTCCTGTCCATTCTTATTTATCTCCTAGCCAAGAATAATTTTAAACATATGAAATACACTCAAATCTCAACACTGGATTCTGTCTTCTTCCTTTTAAAGGGCTAGAATGAAAAGCACAGCTATAAGTGAATGTCCACTCCTGTTAGCTCACAAATGGTTGACGCAGTCCTTCTGGGTAAAAGACTTGCTGATAAGGCCTGATTGGCCCTCTGTATAAACATATTCTAGAAGCCCAGGATGGTGACAAGTACATCTGTGAGATTTATTTTTTCTTTTCCTGGAGAAATAGACCAATTCACATTTTGACAAGAAACGGCATTGAATGTAAGACAAATGGGAATCCTCAGTTACAATAAATTTTCTGATGCTGCACTTTTTCAAGAGCATCCTGAATTTACATTCCTCTGTCCCACAGAGATAGTTGGCAAGATAAGAAGAAAAATTAACTTAAAAAATATAAAATCTCCTTCCTCCCCTCTTGGTTTAAGAAGGTTGTAAAATGAAGACGTCCCTACTGGGAAGATGTCTAAAATATTAAAGTCTCAGGCTTTACTTCATGGTCTAGGAGGAAACTTTTCTCCAGATTCTGCTGTGACCTTTTGAACTCTTCCGTGCACTGGTTGTTTCCCCCTCTTTTTAGGTTGGATATCTGTGTGGGGAGGTCAATTTATAGGGATTTTCCCCCTTCCTCTCTCTCTTTGTTAACACTTGTGGGACTCCTATCCTAAAATTTAAAAAAGTTAAGAAGTTTAAAGTGTTAGTCGCTCGCCGTCTTTGACTCTTTGTGACCCCATGGACTGTAGCTTGCTAGGGTTCTCTGTCCCTGGAATTCTTCAGGCCAGAATACTGGAGTAAGTAGCCATTCTCTTCTCCAGGGGATCTTCCTGACCCAGGGATCAAACCCAGGTCCCCTGCATTGCAGGCAGATTCTTTACGATCTGAGCCAGCAGGGAAGCCTGAATTTAGTTCTCCCCTTTTAGATCTCTTACACCAGAGATTTAACTATGTATCTAACTAAAGGTTTAGAGATACAAGAAGTTATAAACATTGTAATGAGTTAATTTACCAAAAAAGCATTTTCCCAGTAATTGTATATTACCCTTAGAGTTGATTTCAGAAGAGTTGCTGATATTGATATCATTTGAAAAAAATCATTAAATAGATTTTTCATGAGCATTATCGGGATAGGTAAGGGACAATTTAATGAAAATAAGCCTAATGTATTAATTGTGAAGAGTTTTAATCACTCAGGCATGACAAAGCCTGCTTGGCTGGAGAATAAGAATCATGTACAGAAAGACTAGGGCTTCCTAGGCAGGGCTAGGAGAAAACAACCTGCCTGCCAATGCAGGAGACATAAGAGACATGGGTTCGATCCCTGGGTTGGGAAGATCCCCTGGAGAAGGGCATGGCAACCCATTCCAGTATTTTTGCCTGGAGAATTCCATGGACAGAGGATCCTGGGGGGCTATAGTCCATAGTGTTTACAAGGAGTTAGACACGACTGAAGCAACTTAGCACATACACACAGAAAGACTAAAGAACCACACTGCTTGATCAAAGCATCCATCAAA